CTGACTGGATGCACCTTGAGACCACACTTTAAGTGAAATAAATCAAACACACATTCAAATACCACACTGTTTCTCTGGTATGAGAAACAAGAAGTGTAAATAAGGACCAAGATGTATAAGAGCTGTTGGGAAACACACAGAAACTGTTCAGATGGGAAGGGGAACTAGGGAGGGGGAGGGGAAGGAAGGGGAAAGAGAATAGAGGGAAAAATAGAATCAAAGCTTTTGTAAACGAAGAAGGGAAGAACAGTTGAAGGGAGGGGAGGAGAATGGGGGGAAAAGGAGCAAGAAATACCATGTACATGTACAAATGCCCTATGATGCGTGTGATTGCCAAGCTGGGAGATAGCTCAGTGGTCTAAGCACCGTCCTGGCAAGCGCAAGGACCCGGGTTGAATCCCCAGTACCAAACGCTGTGCTGGCCCCATGGGGAGCCAGCCACTGAACCTGGCTTGGTGGCACACACCTGTAATCCCAGCACTGGGAAGGCTGAGACGGGAGGATCACTACTAGTCCAAGCCGTGTAGTGAGACCCTGTAAATAAATGAATAAAAGATTTTTTTTAGAAGATGTATATTACCCGGCCCTGCACCCGGGGCATGCTGAGACAGCGACTGAGACTGGGCATGGTGGGCTGGGAAGATGGCTCAGTGGAATAAGTGCTTCCCTGGCAAGCACAAGGGCCTGAGTTCAATCCCTGGTTCCGGAGAGAGAGAGAGAGAGAGAGAGAGAGAGAGAGAGAGAGAGAGAGAGACTGGGAATGGTGGCATTCGCTTGTAACCCCAGTGCTTGGGAGGCAGAACACAGGTAGATCACTACAATGTCACTGAGCAAAGACAAGACTTTGCTGATCTATATGAGACCCTATAGACCCTTACTGAAGTATAAATAAATAAAGATGTATATTACCAATACTGTGTGTGTGTGTGTGTGTGTGTGTGTGTGTGTGTTTAGGTCCATGGGATAAGTTTGCTCAGAGCAAACTTTTTAGGAGGAGTCAGGGCAATATTATAATGCTGGGAGGAAGGCACCAGCAGAGACCGCCAGGCTTGTGAGAAGGCCGGAGACCACCCTGGGCCAAATTCTTTTATTTTCTTTTTAATTTCTTTTCTTCTTTTCAATCCTGGGGATGGAGCCCATGGCCTCAGGCAGGCAGGCAAGAGCTCCACCACTAAGCTACACCACTAATGCCTTTTGTTTTATTTTGAGACAGGCTCTCACTCAGCTGCCCAGGCTGGTCTCAAATTTGGGGTCCTCCTGCCTCTTCCCGAGTGGCTGGGATTACAGGCGTGCACCACCATGCCTGGCAGACACATATTCTATTTTCAGCTTTGTACTTGACTTTTATAAACTTCAGAAGGGCCAGTGACATAGCTCAGTGGACTAAGTGCTTGCTTAGGCAAGCGCAGGGGGGAGGGTTCAATCCCTGGCATCACATGCCACACAGGCCCTGTCCCCAGGTGCGCTGAGCCGGCGATGGAGTCTGGGCCTGGTAATCCCAGCACTAGGGAGG